GCTCTTGCTCAGGCTGGTCTCGAACTCCTGAGCTCAAACGATCCGCCCGCCTCGGCCTCCCAGAGAGCTAGGATTACAGGCATGAGCCACCGTGCCCGGCCTGGTGTCTACTTCTTTGATTGTGAGGATTAAATTAGTTACCTTACACTCTTGTCACTTGTTTGGCAGAAGTATAGAATTTTTTCCTCCTGATTATAAATAAAAGCAAAGAAAATCTAAGAGCATTTTTGTCTAAATACATTCATGATGCCACTTTTAAAGCCAATTAGAATCACCATATGCAAGGATTCTATATACGTCGCCGAAATTTTTAATTTTCTATGCCTATCTTTCTTGCTGTAATGACTAGACTTGGCCTGAGAGCTTTTTAAAAAAATTGATATATAATTTACATGTAATGAAATTATACTCATTTGGTTTGCTGCTCAGTAAGTTTCACACACACCTGGATAACCATAGTCAACATACAGAATATTTCCGTTACTTCAAAACGTTCCCCTTGTCCTTTCCCGGGGAATCCCCCCTTCATCTCCAACCCTAAGCTAAGTGACTTTTGAGTGTTTACAAAAAAAATCAAGTTCATCGTCAAAGATTTTCAGCCTGTGAGGATATAGGCAAAGAAAGTTCCCTAGTGAGAGATATTTCAAATAACAAGCCTCCCTGTAAAACTCTACACTATTTCAGCTTAACATGTCTGTTGAGGATATTGTCCATATTATATGTTAGGTTTGTTCTGGGTGGGAACCCACAAAGTATGTATAGGACAGAATGTGGTTAATGCAAAACTTGGGCTTGTAAAACAATAGCCACAGGAGTCTGGGGAGTCCCCAGACTTTGTAGATCTAACAGACAGCTGCAGCGAGCATTCCTTCCCCCACCCTCCCTGATAGAGAGGAAAGCTATCCCTCCCTAGCTCTCCTGATAAGGACGTTGCCAGAGCAGAAGGATGGATATGACTGGGGCAATGGGGTCGTAGGAGTTGGTGGTTTGAAGAAGAATTTACTACAAATAGTGTTCTGCCCACCATCCTCTGCCACTCTTCACCTGCCAGTTTGGCCCAGAAACAAAGAACTGAACAGGGCAGGTGGGAGGGGGTCAGCTAACCCCATTTATAAAAACCCTGACTAAACCCCCTTCTGTGCTGACTCTTTTTGGACTCAGCCCACTCGCACCCAGGTGAATAAACCAGCCGTGGTGCTCCCACATGGCCTGGGTGTGAAATCTGTCCTTTGGGTCATTCACCCTTTCATTATATAGTGCTTTTTCTGTAAGAATCCATGGGGAAAGTTTTTCTTTGGCTTAAATATAAAGAATACCTAAGGTTGTTAGCAATTAGTTTGCTTTTTACTTTATGGTGCTGATGACCCTTGCCGCCATAGCATAGACTTGTGACACAGCCATACTACCTGATTTCAAACCCCAGCAACAACACTTACTACCTTGGGTAAGTGACTCTGAGTGAGAGACTTTGGACAAGTCACTTCATCTTGCTAAGCTTCACTTTCTACAGTTGTAAAGTGGGGAAAATAATAGTACCTACTTCATAGAAGTGGTTTAAGGATTACATGAAACAATTAATGTAAGACATTTAGCACAGTGCTTATCAATGTAGTAACTATGCAATAAAAAACTACTACCAGCCCAGATGTCTCTCTATATCCCCTGTTCTCATCTCCATCACGCAACATGAGCCGTGCTGCCATCGTTTCACAGCAGTTAATGCCTGCTGACATCCTTTTTCCTTAGTTAAAATTGAAAAATATTTTTGGGGCATCAAGGACATGGTCTTGCATACCAAAAGGATAATTTATCAGTTAACATGCTTTCAGCTCCAAAAAAACTGCAAATAACCATCACTTTCCCCCACCCCAAAAATACCCACATACTCACCAGGCTAAAATAATGACACATTATCTCATATAACAAAATGTCTACAGGTAAGAAGTCCTCAGGGTTAACTCAGCATCTCAATATGATCATCACAGTTCCAGTTCTGGGTCAGGTGCCATGGCTGACACCTGTAATCTCAACATTTTGGGAGGCCGAGCTGGGAGCATTGCTTGAGACCAGAAGTCCAAGACCAGCCTGGGCAACATAGCAAGACCCCATCTCTACAAAAAAAATTTAAAAAAAATACCCAGTTCCTCCCATCTTTTGGCCCTACTATATCCTCAGTAGGGATGGTGTTACTCTTATCCCTAGGCTGACTTTTTAAACTGCTTCAAAATTACCGTACGGTTATAGAGAATGTCCAGTGGAAAAAGTGAGTGTCTTCTTTTAAGGATGAAGAAACTGTCCTCGAAGATCCCCCAGAAGACTAAACCACTCACTGGCAGGCAAGTTGGATTATGACGAGTTTTCCTTTGATCAAGGATAGAAAATCTTCCCTAAGAGGTAGACACTTACACAAAAATCAGGGTTTTGTTTGCAAAGGAAATAGTGAATGTTGTTCTGCCAAGAACAAATAATTATCTGGCATTTTAGTAGGTGCTAGACATTAGTAGAGATGCTGGGATGGCAAATATGTTGAAGACTTAGTCCCCCATTTTATTAAGGAAGATACATGGTAGGCATCTTCATTACTCACTGATACAGAATCAATTGCTATGTTGAGATTCTTGCTGAGAAACAAACTTGTAGGACTCAGGCTTGATCTGTGAGATGCTTCAGGCACTTCATTTGTAAAGCAGGAAAAATGGTACTGTTCTTAAGAGTTTTATGATGTACAGGAATGAGCTTTATATATTCTGCAGATATTAGACACCTATTGTATACTAAGTATATGCTAGGGCCTGACATGGCAGTTCCTGCTCTCACAGAGTGGACTCAGCCAAGTGATCTGATTTTAGGCTGCTGATATGTTAAAAAATATTTATTGAAGTGTGATTAACATACAAAAAGCTGTACATATTTAATATATAAGACTTGATGCATTTGGAGTCAAGTACAGTAACATGTTTTTGTGATGATAAAAATAATGCATACTTCCAGTTGAAATGTTGAGAAAACTTCTAGGAGTTTCTCCTGAAGGAATATGCACACATGTTCGTGAAGATAAATGTTTCTGGGCATTCTTCACAGAACTGTTTCTAATGGCAGAGAATCAGAATGTTAGTTTCCTTCTCCTAAATTATGGCATAACTATGTATGGAAAAACTATGGAGCTGTTTAAAACCATGATGTAGACATAGAGATACTCAAATGGAAAGAGCTTAGAGACACTTAAGTTAAAATATCAAATTTTACAATGATGAATATGTATGGTCTTATTTATGCTTATGAAAAAGCTGTATGTGTGTGTACATAAGCACATATGTATGTGTAAATGACTGGAAGGATACATGTCAAATTGTTAATAATAATTACGATTATCACTCAGGAAGGAAATGGCTGAGTCTGCAGGGAGACATGAAGGGAAATATTTAATTTTTACAATAAGAATTTTTATATATTACATGTATAAAGAAATTTTAGAAAGCATAGAAAAAATAGAAACCATCCACAGTCCACCGCTCAGGTTGTATATACAGTCTATTTTATGCTTCATGTTTTTTGAAAAAAATTGGATCATTTCCTATATACAATTTTATATCCTTTTAAAAAACCACTTAGTTTCACATTGTAAGCATTTCTCTGTGTCATTTGTAATAATAGTATTACTACAGTTGATTCCAAATGCTCAGATAAGGCAATACTTCTAGAATAAACTCCCTTCCAGGTTGATAAAAAAAGTCTCAGGTCTTGGTGCTCAGGTCATGGTGCACCATGGCCAGACTGTTTCAACAAAGGAAAATGGAAGCACAGATAATCAAAAAAACAGAGATTAAACAACTCTTTGCCACTTTGTGGGCCTGAATGGATTATGACACATACACATAATCATGACTGCCTAGTTAAATAATGACAGCTAAAAAAAAAACCTAAGCAAATAAAGGGAGTTAACAGGAAATGGTTAATAGACAGGGCCCCTTAGACTCTCTGGCAGACAAAAAAAAACCAAAAAGATTTAAAGAAAAACATACCACAGGATGCTTTGGACCTTTATACACATTTGTTAAAATGAATTAAAATGCGGAAAAAGTGAAGAAAACAGAAGAAAGCTAGTATAGAATAGGAAAGCAAAGCAAACATCTGCATATGCTGCATTGTCAGTTCAATTCAAGCAGACTTAGCATCTGTGATGCTTAATTTTGTGTCAAATTAGCTAGGCCACAGTACCCGGGTAGTTGCTGAAACATTATTCCAGATGTTTCTATGAAGGTGTTGTTTTTTTTTTTTTAGCTGGGATTCACACTTAAATCAGTAGATTTTGAGTAAAGCAGATTACTCTCCCTAATGTGGGTGGGCCTCATTCAATCAGTTAAAGGCCTTAATAGAAAAAAACGACTCACCTCCCCTGAGGAAGAGGAATTCTGCCAGCAGACTCTGCCTTTGGACCAGAGCTGCAATAGCAGCTCTTCTGTGGGTCTCCAGCCTGCTGGCCTACCCTGTAGATTTCGAACTTGCCAGCTTCCACCACTGCGTAAGCCAGTTCCTTAA